TAGAGAAGATTTCCAAGGCCTTGAAACACTGCAGTCAGTCCAAGTTACTGAGACTTCAGTACTTCCAGGTCAAATGGACTAATGGTCTCAATAGAAAACCTTGCCTCAAATCATGAGTACTAGTTCACTGTTTATGATTTTCTATTTAAAATGCTTTAATACTCTCTTAAAAACAAAAACAAAAAAAACCTTCTACCTTTAGTTAAGGCTCTGTGCCAATTGTACAGAGCTACATTTCTATAAAGGTCTTGTGGGTGCTAGATGGATAAGCAGATTGGCAGGTGCAGTATTATACAGAGCCCCATTAAAGTAGGTGGTTATATTATTAGTATTAGTACTTTCTGAAATTGCATGCCTTTTAAAAATAAAATGGATTATACTATTACTTGTCCTCTTTTAGCAGATGTATTTAATGTTTTAGTTATGAAATATTTGATGGGGGAAAACTCACCAGGGAGATTCTTGGCACTTGAAATTAAGTTCACTTGCAAGGTGGAGAAAGAATTTTAATAATTGCAGCAAAGGTAATTTGATACATTCCTAGCAATAAGTATGCCTGTGACACCATGCTCACTGCCACAAATCAGACTAAGGACTCTATTCATGAATGAGTCATGTCCCGCTTATCCTCCATTTTTATGTGGTGTAAATTTAATGGAAAGATCAGGTAGTGTGTCTTTTCTGTACTAGAACATAGCTCTCTTGACTTCTGTTTATAACAATAACCTTTTTATTAAAAGCGTGTCTCAGTTAAAGAGATCATTTGTACAAATTCAGTGATGTTGTAGTAGTAGTAATAATAATAGTTGTTGTTGTTAAAAAACACTTTTGTATTTATTTACAGCAAGCTCTCCTACGTAAAAACGTTAGCTTATAAACTGGGATTTTCACATAATCTATAACCATGAAGCAAAGGTGTCCTGACGTCTGCATATAAAAACTCTTTCACTTTCCCCTGCTTTGTTCTGTTCCTTCAGAACTTAATAAGAGCTTACAAATCCTCCCAAAGGCCTATCTAGGTTATCCCCCTGTATCCCACAGCTACCAACCAGATGCCTGTGGGAAACCAACAAGCAATAGCCCTCTCCTGCGGTTGTTTTCCGGCTACGGGTATTGAGAGACTTTCAGCCTCTGATCCTGAGGTGGCATATAGCCATCATAATTGGTAGCTGTTGATAGCTTTACCCTCCATGAATTTGTGTAATCTCTTCTAAAAGCCATCTAAGTTGGTATCTATCACTGCATCTCCTGGTAGGAAAAGTCAACAATTTAACTATGTCTGCCCTGAATCTTCCAGCATTTAGTCTCTTTGGATGACCTTCGGGTTCTAGCATTAAGGGAGGAAGAAAAACTTAATGCTATCTACTTTCTCCACATCATGCTTCCCCCACCCCCATTCACCAAACATAACATTTCTTTTCATACAGTACGTTCTCCAGATAATTTTGGGTGCCTTTTTCTGCATTTTTTCCAGCTCTACAGTATGGTTTTTTTTGAGAAGCAGGAAGCAGAACTGTCCACAGGATTACAAGTGTGATCGCACCATAGGTTTGCATGAAGACATTACAATATTTGCAGTTTCATTTTCAGTCCCTTTTCTTACTCTTCTCTAGCATGGAATTTTCTAACATTTTCATAGCTGCCTCACACAAGACCCGTGATTTCCACCAGAACACCACAGTTTCTTTCCTGCCAGTTCAGACACCATCCATGTATACTTTAGGATTTAAAAGTGGTGTGATGTATTAACTATTTGTAACCCACTGTGGAAATCATTATTGTGAAGATGTAGGCGCTAACATATTTGTGAGTTTTTGGATATTTGGGATTGTGGCTGTTGTATAACAAAATTATGTGGATGCCAGGAACTAAATTGTTACGTACCCTCCAATATTTCTCCAAGGAAAATAGGGATGTCATATTCCATGTTAATAATAACAGCAACAATAATAATTTTATTATTTATAACCCGCACATCTGACTGGGTTGCCCCAGCCATTCTGGGCAGTTTCCAATATGCATAAAAACATAATAAAACTTGAAACATTAAAAAAACTTCCCTAAACAGGGCTGCCTTCAGATGTCTTCTAAAGGTTGTATAATTACTCATCTCCTTGGCTCTGGCGTCACATAACTCCATACCCTCCAACATTTCTCTGATGAAAATAGGGACGTCCTAAGGAAAAAAGGGACATTCTGTAAATCCGGGACTGTCCCTGGAAAATAGGGACGCTTGGAGGGTCTGCTGTCCAGAGATCCACATGTGCTCAGATGAGCACATGAGCCTTCTGTCATTCAGTACTGTATATTATGTAGGCTCTCTTCTGCATGAAAATCTTTCTCCTCAATGGAATTGAATGGAAAACCAGGGTGGACAACATAGCATCTATCACAGAAACCATTTTGTTACTCTGTCAGCATACTTTGTCACTATGGCTTGCTCAGTCACTGGAGACACTCTTTTGCTCTGGTATTATAACTTTTATTTTATTTATTTGAGGCATTTATAGGCTGCCTTTCATAATATCCATCCCAGGGTGGTTAAAGAGCAATCATTTACACACGCTGAAGAGCCAACAGGTACGCACCGAGTTCTTGTTTTTGTTTTGCTGGCTCTCTGCAACAAATCACTAAGCCCTCCTGAGCTGAGAAAGTAGTTGGCAGATGAGATAGGGGTGGTGCTGTAAGTGAACAAAAATAAAATCCCAACAGCATATGTAGATCTGGTGAGTGTGTCATTTTGGCAAACCCTGCTTGTGAGTATTTCAAGACAGCTTGACAGACTATAGGGGATTAGTTCACGCATACCTTTGAGTCTGCATACCGAAAGCCTTTTAGTAGAGAATTTTTATTATAGCTGTAAACCCTTGGAAAAGTTGCCAATTAGCTGAAAAGCATTATCTGGCTTTGTCCATCTTCTTTTCCTTCAGTTTACAGAAATATAGTAATAAGATAATATATATGTTGTACTCTTTACTGCCTGGTACTAAATTGTGCTGAAAAGTTGCTGAATAGTTATCTGGGTGTTCACAATGCCTCTTTATGTGCATTGATTAATTTTATATTCTTTGCTCCATAAATCAGGGTAATAAGGAACATTTCCAAATGTGCCACTGAAAGTACCTTTTGCATTACCTTTGTTCTATTTAGAACCTTGTTTGTATTATATACTGCAGAACAAGCCGATATACAGTTGCAGGTCTAGGGATGTGCAAGTCTCTCTTAGCACTCTTAACATGGTCAGATTATTACTGTGTTCTCTGATTCGACTTGATGTGTTCAAGGATCTTTTCTGATCTGAAAGGTCAGCTGCTTTTAGATGTGCACCAGCAGAATACTAATACTGTCCTTATTCAAATTACCTGGTACAGTACTTATTAAATTGATGGCCTTGTGCTCTAATTTAATACTGCCGTTGTTCAGAGACGGGTCGCAGCTGCACTCTGTGCTGAATTAGGTGGATCTGAGGCAAAGTTCAAGCAGAAACCATGGTTTTGGGCTGCATTTTCCCACTAAATTAGCAGTCAGATGCAGTGTATAATTAATTAGCACAAACCAGGGAAAGCTTGTCATTTAATAAGCCTTTTTTATTTCCACATTACACAAACAGTGGGAATTGATCCATTAAGTGCCTGGCTATTAATGCTGTTTAATGTATGTCTGGTTGCTAAATTGAGATGTCTAGTTACATACATACATTCAGTTTTCAAGAGCTCCTCACAGATTGCTCAGCGATTGCTGAGATTTTAAGTCATGTTCTACAAATCAATACCGTCTTATGAACATAGTTGGCTCAGAGATCTAAAATGTTAGGCGTTGCTTGGTTTGAAAACATTATGTCTGAAAGATGGTCCTGATACACTGTTTTTGTCTTTTTTGAAAAATAATAATATCTGTTTACTATTATTGAATATAGTGTTCATTCATTATTAAACTTTGAGAACCATTCAAGTCATGAGAAGAGCACAGAGAATTAGCCGTGTTTATGTTACAGAAGAGGTGAGGCAGGTGAACAGCTTAGAAATTGCCCATAATTCTAAAACGATCCTAAAATGATTACCTCCATTGGCTGCAATCCAGAAGGGAACACGAGCACCACCTGCACATTTTCGGAGTGTTATACTCTCACCATCTGCCCTTCGAATATTCCAAAGATTCTTTTAAAGTGTCACCGCATTTCAAAAGCAGTTTGGCGGGGGTGAGGGGGCAGTCAGCATGAGAGGGATGTTCTGTGCAGAAGTAGTTTGGCCTCTTTGCTTCTTTCCTAAGCTGATGAATGTTAATTTTAGCTTTATGTTGAAACATATCCTCCAATTTCTCCCGCTGCAAAAGAGGCTTCTGTTTTTCTCCCACATTCTCAGGGTGCTTTGGATTTTGATGGGTTCAGGGTTGAGCTTTCTTTAACACTGTGAGGTGAGAGCTGCAGGTATAGGGTGGTATATAAATGAAATAAAATTGTGTGTTTTTCTTTCCATGAAACATTTATTGTGCACTTTGCACCCAACCATGGCTGAAAACCCTCATGGGAGGAGTTCATAGAAATCATAAAAGTGAAGAGCTGGAAGGAACCACAAGGGTCATAGAGCCCAACCTCCAGCAATGCAGGAATCTTTTGCCCAATGTGGGGCTTGAACCCCCAACTCTGAGATTAAGTGTCTCATGCGCTACCAACTGATGACGTGTTCGCCTGGACTTTAATTGAAGCAACATGATAAGTTAGGGGAGGATGGTTACTATATACACCAGATTGGTGGTGGTAGCAGGGTAGGGTACAAGTACACATTACTTGTCTAGAGAGCTATATTGCAAAATTTGGAGAAGTGCAAATATTAAAGATAGCTGAATTTTGGTTCATGTGTTGTTTCAGGAAGTACAAATGGAGTAGGTTTGCCTTCAAATGTGAACTGAGATGAACTGAATTTCTCCTCCATCGATAATACTGATTTTGTTTTTAAGGGAAGTCCTTCTTTTGTCCCTTTTAATTCCGCACTGATTTCTAGGTGCACAGTATACAGCCTCTCTGCAATCCCATACTAACATGAAAGGTCACCTGAGGACAGGATGCTCAGGAACCCAGGAAGGCGGTAGAAGTAGGCCACTGGAGATATGACTGGTAGAATGAAAGACTCAGAGGTCTTGGCCATCTTGAAAGCAAGGTAAGCACAACAGAAACCCTATACCACCATGAAAATTTCATCAACATTTTCTCTCTGCTTTGCTAATTTTTAATACAATTTCTTTTCTCATCAGTTGATGGAGAATGGTTAAGAAAGCACATAATATTTTTTTTAGACACAGCTCTCATATATTTATTCATTGATGCCATAAAAACTGCCATGCTACATCAGGCCAGTGCTTTTTTCTTAAAAATTTTTTTTAGGGGTACTCTCATTTTCACTCAAGAAAATCACCATTTTGTAGTTCAAATCCGGAAAAATAAATACAGTAAATGGACAAAAGTGCAAAGAACATGCATTACCTCATGATGATGAAAAATAGTAATTTTCCTACTCATAGTGAAATACTGACCCTCAATGAGGCCAAATTTTCATCAGTAAAGCACCACACTTCCACATTCCACACTGCTTCACACATTAAATGCTTGCTTCCGTCTGAGACTCAGGAAATGAAGCCGACATCGGAGGTGGTAACAAGGAAACTGACCAATCACTGTGCTAGATTCCAACTCCTACTTCACACATTAAATGCCCGCTTCCGTCTGAGACTCAGGAAACACCATGACAGGAAATGAGGCTGCCATCAGGGATAGCAACGGAACTGACGATTCACCGTGCTAGAGAAGAAACTATTTTATTATTTTTTAATTAGTTTCTTCTCCCGTTCGATTCACAAAATGTTTAGGGGTATGCGTACCCCTGCATCCCTCCAGGAAAAAAGCACTGCATCAAGCTGATAATCCCCTCCAGTAACCTCAGGTAAGGGGTGTTTCCGTAGGCAAAGCATGATGGTGTGTATTTGTATTTGCCTTCTTTGGCTGAGATTCAGTACTTGGTAATCAGAACATTTGGTCATCATGGCTAATGACTACTAATAGGATTCATTTTATTTGGGTCTTTTTAGAGGAATGCAAAAACCTAACTCAACAGCCTGTAACATATTAGCATTCTTATTAACCTGAGATTCAAATACCCCACTCAGCCATGAATCACACTAGGTGACTTGGGACCTGTTGCCCACTCTCAACCACTGCGGCGTTTGCCCTCCTATGCGTGTGACATCATACTGGGTTCATAGGGAAAGGGCTAACTAATTGTAAAATGACTAACCAATGGGAACCCAGGGGGCAGAGTTAACTGTGTATAAGGTTTATGCACAGAGGGGGTTTTTTAGGGAGTTAGAGTTGTTGAGAAGACAGTCTGGAGTTAGAAGAGAGAGATAAGAAAAGTCTGTGGGTTGGGCTAGTCTGGTGGGAGAGAGTGAGATAATTTGTTAAGAGGAGTCAGTCAAACAGTTGAGATAATCAGTCAGAAGGTATTAGGAAGGTATAGGCCGGTAAAGAAACTAAATTTAAGATACTGACAGGAATATTATCTGAGAAACCATAAACTTCTTAATGTTTGTAAAATAAACTTGTTTTTTTGGTTCACTTTTAACGACTGACTGGACTCAGTGTTTTCCCAGAGAGTAACTGGTTGGTGGCAGCAGGGAAGCGAGCACAGTGGTGGCACAGGGATCAATAGACAGTTTTTTTAAATAAAAATTTTTTTTTTATTAAGTACAAATTAGAAAACATACATATATCTAACCGAGGAAAAAGAATTAGAGAAAATTTTGTCTCTTTTCATATTTACAGTTATTTATACCTCTATAAAATGCTATTCACAATAAAGCAGTGAAATGAAAGATAAGATATCAGAAAAAAAGAACAAAGAAAGAATAAAAAAGTAAAAGAAAAAGATCATAAGTGAAAACTTTTAAAAGTAGATAAGTACTCACAATACATAGCCGTTTCCCATCTATATTTATATTCAATTGTATAATTTCATCTTGTCCTTATCTACCTTAAATAAATTGTTTTTTTTATTAAAAAAAAGAAGACTTCCACTGTTTACCTCACGCATTTTTAATAATCCGTTCGTCAGAACCTCTGTTCTTCATATTTTCCCTTTGGATTACCTTAATGTCTCACTTTGTATTTTTTATATTATGCACAAGATTATTCTAAACACAACCAGATTTTTGTGGTTGAGCCCTGGTTTTGTAAATAATCATTTAAGCACTCCCATTGCTTCATAACCATAGTTTTGGATTTTCTCCTTATTATATCCGTCAATTTTGCTAATTCCAGGTACTCACAAAGTTTTCCCAACCATTCTCTTTTTGTTGGGATGCTGTCTTCTTTCCAATAGCTAGCAATCAAAATTCTTGCCACTGTTGTTGCGTATAGAAATAAGTTAGTTTTATCTTTTGAGATATCTTTATCTAGAATACCTAATAGATATCCCTCTGCCATTTTTGTGTGTGATATCCTTATCAATTTTTTTATTTCATCATGGATCATGTCCCAAAAGGTTTTAATCTTTGGGCAGGTCCACCACATGTGGTATAACGTACCTTTTGTTCTGCTACATTTCCAATAGATCAATAGACAGTTAAATGTCCGGGGACCCTGTGTGATCGCCACAACCACCTTGAGCTCCTTGGTGGAAAAAAGATGAGATACAAATGCAATAATTAAAGAATAGAAATAAATTCAGTAGACGTCCATTTGGTGGTGCAGGGACATTTGAAGGACTCTAAAGCCAGAAAGGACAAGAAATGCAGCAGATTTTTTGCAGAGGAATGGGATCTTGCATTGGTTCATCTAAGGTGGGGATTTGAATGGCAGGGACTAAAAGTTTGGAATTTCATATTCCACTTCCAACTATGCCATCATAAATACAAGTAAAGTTATGGAAAGCAAAAATAATAATAAAATAACTTCTTGGGTTGTGCTGAATTGTTAATTTGTTTGAACACAAATAGTAATTGCACACTGATGTGCAGAATGATAACTTGATTTTTGCCTAAATAACTTTTAAACAACTATTACATAAATTACATTTATGTAATAGTTGTTTAAAAGTTATTTAGGCAAACTTTCTTTGAAAAATGTGTTGCAGAGTTCAGAAATATCTCACAAAAGGCAAACAATTTAAAAATATTCTATAATCCTTTCACTGCTATTAAGAATTGTCAGAAGATTTAGCATCAAGTAGTCTGACTGAATTGACCTTAAAGTTGATGTGAGCAGTACTGAGGAAGATTATGAAGTGATTTTGGGGGCATGTCTTCTGTAAACACCTTTTGTTCTTCTGTCAATACAAGGTTCAAAGAGCATCTGATGCTACGATAGCAGGGAACGTCATCATTCTTAGGTTGAAGCCAAGGTTTATGGAAAGCTGCGTTGGGATGAGTGACAGGTTAAGAAGAAAGACCTTAAGTCCTTTTCCCACAACCCCTTTAGTGTAAAAGCAGAAAGGATTTTTTCTTTCCTTGACTCTCTTAGATTAGTGATGCTGCTCTGCAACTCTCGTGGCTCCTCAAAAATCACAATGAGGACTTTGGTTTAGTTTCAGGGTCCCTGATTTGGATGGTTTAGAAAGTTAAAGAAATGTGGCATAGAGAACTTGTATAAGATAGTGGCACTTACATGGAACATTTGGTACCATTGTGGGTATATAAACTTGATGGCCATTGGCAAGCATCTGCAAAGTAAACTAGAGCTGGAGTACAAAAGAGTATAAAGTAGGAATTAAACATATTGTTGCAAAGTAACACAGCACAGTTCTATGTATGTTTATTTGGAATTAAGTCCCACTGTGTTCAGTGAGGTTTACTTCCAGCGAAGTGTGCATAGCAAACATTGTATCCTTAAAAATTTTGGATGCAAAAGTATCAAAGTAAATACTATCAATGTACAAGCATGTGCAGAGTGATAAGTATGTGTACAGACTCATCCCCCCCCCACACATATAAAGCTTCTTCGCTGGGCATTTTACAACTCACTAGTCGTCTTTTGTATCAGAAAATTAGAAATATACATGAAATCAGTCCAATCAGAGCAAATCCTGAATCTTCTATTAATATTTTCTGGCCACTTTTCATCATTTTGGAGCACACTTTTAAATAATCTGTATAAGATATGGCAATAGGAGCAGTAGATCAATGACTGTGCCTCATATCGGGCATTGATTGGAAATACGGCTCTATTTGTGCACATATTCAGGTTGGATTTGCACAGCCAATTCCTTTCCCACATAAGGGGTGACTTTTGTGGTCTTTTGTTGCAGGAAGATATACCTAGAGCCTGGTAGAATATAAAATGTGTTGCATCTATTCCTATGATCTCACATGAATCACATGAATGGTGATGATTACAAAAAAGAAAGAAAGAAAAATAGGAAAGCTTCAACTGTAGGTAAACAAAGTGACGAAGCTTGTAAGAATAAGACCATAGTAAGCACTGAAAAGCCCTTGGTGGAGGAAAAATAAATTTTCATATTTCTGTAGTAGCATTTATATAAAAATTAGGAGGAGGTGGAAGAGCAGGAAGAGGATCGTGGCAAGGGGTGTGGCCAGGACTGGGACAAGCAGGGGATGGGGAAGGAAGTACTCACAGGGTGACAGCTAGGGGAAGGGGGTCAATGCACAGGAACCAGAGCAGCAGGACCCATCACCAGACCCAGAGGGGCCCCTGTCTCCATGAACACAGTGGGTTCTGGGGCGTAGGGAGCAGAGGGAGAGACACTCTAGGAGGCTGAGGCAGACAACGGCCCACAGCCCAGCTCCCTAGCTGGCCAGGTGGAGCTCGCTAACTCTGGGAGGAGGGGTGTGATTCCTCAGCTGGAGAAGGCTTGGAACAGGTGAGGGTCACATGCCTCATCAAGCTCAGATGCTGCAATCAGCATACAAAACACAGAAGGGAAGCAGAGCTAAGGGGCTGTGTCAGCTCAACTGCCTATGTTGGTGGATGTTGACTTTGGTGCTTCTGGACCTCTACGGGACTGTGCTTTGGGTTTGACTCTGGACTGTGTCCTGACTGCTGGACTTCAGACTTGGCTACTTGGGTTGACCCTGTATTGTGTTTCCTGACCTTTGCACTTTGCTTGTGTGGCTTGAACTTTGGACTTTGGACATACTGACTTACTGCCAG